ACATATGTATGTTTCCCCTTGATCAGAAGTAATGTAGCCATGTTAACATGGCAACAAGAGCCTGCTAATTAGCTCTGCCAAGTGGCAGCACTAATTAGCTTTCCCAGTGCTGCACTGATATAGGTTCTATACATATAGTCATGGGGTTACATATGCAGAACAGTACAGAATATTGGAGGGCACCACTGCCTGACATCAAAAGGCTGTGGTCTAGAAAAAACCTAAGATAAAATTTTCCTCCCTTTCTAGTCCACTCCCCTTCTCTAATTTCTTTCACTTTGACAAGGATTACCTTTTTGCTTCTAGCCTTTCAACTTCACTGCATCTCTGCACCAATGGCATTAGCAATGCCATTACTAACTGTACACATTGAACTATTATGATACAGGACCTCACTTTAATGGTGTTTAGGGACTTGATAAGGGAGGAAGTAGATCACACTTAAGTGCCTTATAAGTGGAATAGGATCTAGCCCTCCAAAATTCCAGACTTCTTATTGGTCTTCTGGCTTTTGCACCTATAGAGGGCACAATTTAAAGCTTTTCCATACAACCCTGAAGACTAAAAACTTTCTTCTTTTGAAAATTTATGAAAACAGAGTCCAGAGGATGCATATGACATGTGGAACTAGGCTTTCAAGAAAAGCAGTATGTATCACAAAACTTAAAATCATGAGAGTTGACAACATTGTTAACATTTCAGTCAATAGTAGCTGAATAGAACTTTTCTTTCCCCTTATTATTTGCCCACAGGCTTTAACCTGAAGTGTGACCAAACATTTCTGACCAGTTCCACAGATTTGTTCTTGGACTGCTGCCCAAAGTATTTTACTAGTGAAGTTGCTGGCCTAGATGCATCAACTGGGTGAAAAACTATGGCCTGTGTTATGCAGGAACTCAGACTCCATTAAGAGTTCCTTCTAGGCTAATATCTATGAGTCAAGTTTACTCTGTCCATGTTCTTTCAAGTATATTTTAATAGTCTGTTTTCAGGCTGGACTAGAAAAGCCTCCTTCACAAGTGATTGCTATGTTATTTGGATTAGGGAAGGGTGGAAGGCATTTTACAGCAGTTTTAGGATCTTTATTGGTTTGGCATAAAATACTTAACTTGATTTCTCTTTCTTTTTGGGTATAACAAGGGGGTTGGCAAATAATGCATTATACGCTGCAATGGCACAGTTACGGAGCTGTCAAATCCCTTGCACTCTGCCAACTAATACAGTTTTCTATACTACAGGACAACTGTCTCAAGCACCTGAGTTTGTTGTCCAGTGCTAACCCATTGGGACAAGTGGGAGTGACTCTTGTCTAAAAATCTGTAAAGACTCTACACAGTGCCCTCTGCAATCCCTCCTCAAAATGTATCTCTTCCATGAAGCCTACAAATGACAATGTCTATAAACCATCCATGTGTTTTTCTTAACCTGTTGTTTCTTATATTATCAGCTCTTTGGGTCTGGATTATCCTGTTTTATTCTACACACACACACACACACACACACACACACACACACACACACACACACACACGGCTATAATATAAATAATAACTAATGAATTTAACGCACTGAAAAAGACATCTCCTGTTGTTATTCCAGTAAGTCTCATGAAGTTAACTCAAGGCTAAGTTTATCCCAACAAAATTATTTTAGGGTTGGAATACATCATATGCTCCAAACAGAATAATAAACTAATGGGAAGAAACCAGAGAAAAATATTTACTATAAATTATGAAATAAGACAAGATGGCAAAGTAATTTCTGTACACATGGACCACTAAAATATAATTAGTGAGCAAGACAATGAAAAAGATTGACTATACCTGAAATACCTGAAATAGATTTAACATGTCATGAATAAGATATGATCTTGGCACACTTTTAAATCCCCCTTTTCTACTAAAAAATAGTAGACAGAACTGGATGGTGAAGTGATTACTAGTAGGACAAAGAACTTCTCTCTTCTTTTCTTAAAGGTAGCCTAGCAAAAACAGTGTTCTGAAGGAGTTACTGTATAATAGTTATATTAAATAAGTAGAGAGACAAGACGTGTCTCTGTTAAAAAAAAAAAAAAATCACATGTGAAGTTTTCCAAAAATAATTGCTTCAAGCATCCTCTTGAATCCAGTGGCTTGCTTTTCAACAGTGATGGAAAACCAGCAGTGCCCATTGAATTGGGTGCTTTGCCCTTCCAGAAGCCCATTTATTCAGGTGTCAAAAATGGGTTGAAGTTTAAGGGACTTGCTTTCAAAAATCTTGACAATGACTAATGCCATTATTTGTAATTTCTACAGGGTGCGTCTACATGTGCCCCTGACTGCACACTTGGTACTGCACAGTCATTTATTACTTGCTTTAGGTGCGCAGTTCCAGTGGTGCATGGTTATTTTTAGATGCTACATCACTGTAGTGATGATCTACGTCGCTGTAGCTTGTCGCTATGACAATGTAGCATCTCATGTAGAACTGCCCACTATGGACTAAACCAAATCCTTAAGGAATACCTGAGCTTGCTAGACTGTGAAGGTCAAAAGATCAGGACTTCACAGTATAGCAAACACTTGAAAATACAGAAATCCAAAATTAAGGTACCTCCAATAACCTGATCTATATTCCTGTAAGCCTCCACAGCATCTATCTGAATTCACAAGACAGAGTTATGTACACATGCACTATATCATCATTCTGAAAGATGTAAGTCACATACTACTATCCTTTCCTTTTTCTGTGTCCTTGTGACAAGGTATTTAGCAGAATTTGCAGATTTGTCAGAATCTGACAGGCAGCACTGGGAGTGCTTGTACTATGGCCTCAAGCTGGTGACCTCTGGGCTGTCAACCATGCACCTTAGCACCTGTGGCACCCCAGCCCCCTTATACTATCATTATAGTCTTCCACATCTGACATGTACAAGCGAGCATCCTACATACCCACAGATTTTATAAAAACACACGTCTGGAGCATCTCAGAACTGGCATAGTTTTAAAAATACAACCCTCACAGTAACAGTACCATTCTGACTAATGCTGTTTAAATATATTTCCATGACAAACCAGAATTTTACCAGCCTCACAAAAAAGCCAAAGAAAAACTAAAAATAGGACTCATTATATTTTGAAGGCAAAGTATATGGGTTCTATCTGAATGACACGGAAAACCATGCTGTACCACCCAGGGGGCTCATCTGTCATCCAAAGCCCGCCCCCTGCCCCGGATCTGAACTGTCAGGACTATGCATGGAAACTGAAAGGATTGTCTCTCTGGAACCAATTCTTATAGGATTTTATAGATCAAAACGAATATACTTGAATTGCAAATTATAAACCAGCACAGCCTATAGAAAACATAGAGAGGTAAGCTTCATATGACTCATACATTTAGCTAAACTGTCAGCCTCATTTAATACCAGCTGATCCTTAGGAGTGATCTTCATGATTTGACTTGTTTAGAGCAACTGATTGTACTCCAATCTGGTGGTGAAAAAGGCATGAATGAATACAGTGAGTTCCAAGAAATGTTGCAACCTCATAGTACAGAAAGTAAAAGGGTCTTTTAGCCACTGCCATTACGTGAAATTGAAGGAGCAATTGGGAATTCAGAAGTCTACCTAGGCTGTAAAACCCTGCATGAAATAATGAACACATGGGATGGAATAAGCTAATCATCAGCAAAGCTAACAGCACTTTATCATGCATCAGCAGATGCATGACAAATAGATCCAAGAAGGTGATACTTCCCCTCTATGCGGCATTGGTCTGACCGCATTGGAGTACTGCGTCCAGTTTTGGGCGCCATACTTCAAGAAGGATGTTGATAGACTCGAGAAGGTCCAGAGGAGGGCCACTTGTATGGTTAGGGGCTTACAGGACAAGCCCTATGAGGAGAGACTGAGGGACCTGGACCTCTTCAGCCTCCACAAGAGAAGGCTGAGAGGTGATCTTGTGGCCACCTACAAATTCATTATGGGGGCACAGTGAAGGATCGGAGATGCTCTGTTCACCAGGGCGCCTCTTGGGGTAACAAGGAACAATGGTCACAAACTGACAGACAGCAGATTTAGGTTGGATATCAGGAAAAACTTCTTCATGGTAAGGGTGGCCAAAATTTCAAATGGGTTTCCAAGGGAGGTGGTGCTCTCCCCTACCTTGCAGGTCTTTAAGAGAAGGCTAGATAGGCATCTGGCTGGGGTCATCTGACCCCAGAACCCTTTCCTGCTTAGGCAAGGGTCGCCCCTCTTTCCTGCCTAGGCGGGGGGTTGGACTTGATGATCTGTTGAGGTCCCTTCCGACCCTAGCATCTATGAATCTATGAATGTATACAGCTCTGGTAAGGTCCTGTAAGAGATTTTCTTTAGCCAATCTGCACCACCTGTGTTGAGTCTGGATGGAGCTTTGCCAGTCTGCCCAGATTACACCCAGATACCAAGGAAGCAGATAATTTTCTGTTCAGGTCTAATGAGTGACAGAGAGAGATGCTAAGCTGAGCATCATACTAGTGATATTGCAACCTAAGCCAGCTCACTGTTTACTGGATCAATTCCATGAACATGCTGAACAGGAGTGGTACCACACCTGTAGTATCTCACATAAGAGAACTCTGTAGATAGAGGAATAGCTTCTCCAACTCATATCACTCAAAAAGGGGCAGAATCACAGGCATCTGACTCCACACGTGCTCATCAAGGGTCAACACAGCCCGCATGGTCATCAATATTAAAGATAGCCAAAAGAGCCTAAACAATCATCTTGGGCACATCATCACTGTATATTATCAGGAAAGGATCATTGCTGCTTAACACAGTTTCTGCTGTACACCCAGGCTTAAAACCAGGCTGAAAGAGACTGAAGGAAGACAAAATCTGCCAAATGCTGCCAGAAACGGATTGTCATATCCTTGTAGAAAGCACTTATCACAAAAGGGACATTGTGTGGATGAATGTTTGTACAGCACTCTGCAAATGTAAAGTCTCTCAAGTGCTAAATTATGATAAGAGGACTTACAATGCTCCTCATGTGTTTCAACAATATTGTCAGACGGGTTCCATCATAGGTAATAACTAACTGTACTCCAGGTTTCTGATCAGGAGATTTAGGACCTGAAAGATGCAAAATGAATAGATTTTTGTTTAGGAGAAAATACTAGTAAAAATGCTTAGCTAAAGCATTGAAACAATATTATAAATGACATCACAACAAAATATTACAAGCAGGAAATTAGGAAACACTAAAATGGAGCTTGTTATAAACATTAAAAGGGAGGCCTGAAATTTATCTATCATTTGTTCACTACATAGTATCCAAACAACATTTCCCTGGTGAGGATGAGATTTTACATTGTCTATTCAGCATCAGCCTGAATTTCAGCTGGAATTTCATTTTCAAATTGTTAAGCTTTTTTAATAGCAAAATTAAAAACAGGGAATGGTGTTTGTGATTTTCTCATATTATTCAAATATTGTGTTTGGATTTCTGTGGGGAAAAAAACAGCTTCAAGCACTATGGGCTTCAAGGCATATAAAGTCAGCACAGAATTTGGGCCAAATAAATTTATGGAGGCACATAAGAGCTGGTAGAAAGGCAAAACTATTGTAGATTTATGACAACCAGCAATAGCAGGGGTAAACTCTTCCTTTTCTTCTCTGTATTTTGACAGATGCAGATTTGATCTCATGGTACTGAGAGTCACTAAAATGCAGTTATAGAGTCTGATCCCATTCCCACTGAAGTCACTGGCAAAAAATCCCTTGGCTTCAAAGCAAGCAGAATCAGACATATAATCTGGAAAATAGGCTACATGGGGGGCAAGGAGAAAGGGATTTGGTGGTAGGGGTCTGCTACAGACCCCCACACCAAGGGGAAGAAATAGATTCGGGGCTCCTGAAGCAGCTCTCGGAGACCATAAAAGCTAAGGAGGCGGTAGTCATGGGGGACCTAAACTACCCAGACATCTGCTGGGAGACACAGACGGCAAAGTCCCACCGTTCACGCAGGTTTCTAACCTGTGTACAGGACCTCCACCTGACACAGGTACACGGTCCCACTAGGGGGAATGCCATACTGGATCTGGTATTGGCAACGGGGGATAACATGGTAGGGGACCTACAGATCGGTAGCCATCTGGGGGACAGTGATCACCAAATAATAGAATTCACCATAAGACATCGAGTGGGTAAGGTAACTAGTAGGGTGAAAGTGCTAGACTTTAGGAAAGCTGATTTCAATGAACTCAGGCGATTAGTCAAGGACACACTGCAGAGTAGGAGTTTTGAAGTGATGGGAGCCCAAGAAGGGTGGCCGTGCCTTAAGGAAATGATCCTTCAGGCACAAGGCGAGACAATCCCAATGCGAGGAAAAGGAGGGAAGGGGGCCAGGAGGCTTCCTTGGCTGACCAGAGAAATCCAGGGCAGCCTAAGGGCCAAAAGGGGAGCACATAAAAAGTGGAAACGGGGAGAGATCACCAAAGATGAATATACCTCCTCTGCTCGTGCTTGTAGGGAGGCAGTGAGACGGGCCAAAGCTACCATGGAGCTAAGGATGGCATCCCAAGTAAAGGACAACAAGAAATTGTTTTTGAGATATATAGGGAGTAAAAGGAAGGTCCAGGG